GCTGTATAGTGCAGACCACGGGTTGCCATGGTTTTAAAACGTGGGCAGCCATGAGAGATGGAGAAGTGAGTGGAAGCTTTGTGGAAGGTGGGCAGCTGGTGAGCCATGGATGCTGGGTCAGATTTAATGGTTTGGTGGGGAGAAAGGAGCATTTCACATCAGGAGAGCAGGGTGTGAATGGGCCAGTCTGGAGCCTGGTGCTTGGGTTTGAATGCTTCCTCTGTCACTTAATAGCTTTGCCATCAACGCAGGTCCCTACCTTTCTAAACATGAGCTCTGTCATCTGGGAAGTGGGGATACTAGCGGTCCCTACCTCAGTGGTTGTGATGGCTAAGGAGCGATTTGGGGGGACATTGAAAGCCATCAGGAGTTTGAACTCGATCGAGTTGGCAGTGGGGAGTCGCACAGGCTTTCTATGCCGGTTGAAAGTGCTGTAATACCCACAGGAAGACGCATGTGGGAGGTGACGGGTGGGAGTTGCGTGGGCCTGGACTGGGAGGCCCGGTGCTGGGAGTGCAGGGAAGCTAGGAGCGAGGCCTGGGAGAGGCCTGGGAGCTGACTACAAGGGCGCAGGGTGTGAGGCAGGAGGAGGGGTAGAGGCAGGAAATGGGGAGTGGAAGCAGGTTTTTCATTTATGTTACTTTGTTTTTTAATGAGGACCATTTTAAACGTGTTGATTGTAAAGCAATGTAGTACTTGCAAGTGGAAGTGTCTTGGGAGCACTGTTTGCCAGTGGGTCAGGGGCAGTTCCTGGAGGCGGGACGGGATGTTAAAGAAGCAGGTCAGCCCGTGTGGGGCCCACACAGTGTCTGTCCTGGTCTCGGCTGGAGAACTTCCAGGGGGGAGGGTAACAACAGAGGAGGTCCAGGTGGGTAGAGGCGGGAGAACTTCAGGGGGGAGGTAACAACAGAGGAGGTCCAGGTGGGTAGAGGCAGGAGAACTCCAGGGGGAAGAGTACAACAGAGGAGGTCCAGGTGGGTAGAGGCTGGAGAACTTCAGGGGGGAGGGAACAACAGAGGGGGTCCAGGTGGGTAGAGGCTGGAGAACTTCAGGGGGGAGGTAACAACAGAGGAGGTCCAGGTGGGTAGAGGCGGGAGAACTTCAGGGGGGAGGTAACAACAGAGGAGGTCCAGGTGGGTAGAGGCAGGAGAACTCCAGGGGGGAGGGAACAACAGAGGGGGTCCAGGTGGGTAGAGGCGGGAGAACTCCAGGGTTGAGGGTACAACAGAGGAGGTCCAGGTGGGCAGAGGCGGGAGAACTTCAGGGGGGAGGGAACAACAGAGGGGGTCCAGGTGGGTAGAGGCTGGAGAACTCCAGGGGGGAGGGAACAACAGAGGGGGTCCAGGTGGGTAGAGGCGGGAGAACTCCAGGGGGGAGGTAACAACAGAGGAGGTCCAGGTGGGCAGAGGCTGGAGAACTCCAGGGGGGAGGTAACAACAGAGGAGGTCCAGGTGGGCAGAGGCGGGAGAACTTCAGGGGGGAGGGAACAACAGAGGAGGTCCAGGTGGGCAGAGGCTGGAGAACTCCAGGGGGGAGGTAACAACAGAGGAGGTCCAGGTGGGCAGAGGCGGGAGAACTTCAGGGGGGAGGGAACAACAGAGGGGGTCCAGGTGGGCAGAGGCCTCTCGGTGGGAGGCTGTGTATATTTTCTGCACCAGTCTTGCCAGAGAGCAGTTACAAAAGTATCTCTCCTGTGTGTGGCCTGATCAGGGAGGGGAAGAGCTGTCTGCTCACCAACACGTGCCCAGGCCGTTTGTGGGTGTAGGTTAGCTTGATCCTCAGAGACACACTGGCATTCACGGGGAGGTGCAATAGGAAGTAGGCAGCGTCGCTGGGTACCTGGTTCGGGCAGGGAGTGTGCTGTGAGGCAGCTGTGGGTGAGATGTGAAGGTGAACTGACGGGGGACGCGCCTCCCGGGCCCGGCTCACAGTGGCCTTGACTCCCGTGCTGCTGCGGCGGCTGCTTCCCTGGTCTTGATGTCATGTCGCCGGCTCAGAGTTTTTCCTTCTATACAACAGAGTAGACCAGCAGTTTCAGCTGGTGAGCCGCAAGGATTTCTACAACATGCAGTACCCGACTCGTCAGTCAGGGCACTGACCTCCTTTCCCTTAGATTGTCAGATTGAAAAATGAATTAAAATTATGCCTATTTTTGTTAGATTGGCAAAAAAACAAAATTTCGGGTGTGCTACAGAATTTTAGTAATTACTATGTGTGCCGTGAGATGAGAAAGGTGGAGAACCGCTGGTGTAGACCTGTTGTTTGTCTGGAGTCGGGGGACATCGTCCTGCGGAAATGTGCTGTGCTGCTGTCCCTGACCCAGGAGGGTTCTCTGGACCCAGACCTCCCCAGTGAGGGTGCCTGAAGGTGTGCTACTTGTCAGAAACTGAAGAGCGGAAATGAGGCTTGTCACCCTGTCCCAGCGAGCCTGTCGGCGGGGTGGTTGTGCCTACGGACTTTTTTCAAGCAGGGGGCTTTTTTTTTGCTTTCTCTGTCTTTTTTTCTGAGTTGAGTGATGCTTGATTTTCTAATTTCCTGAACCAGAAAACTTTCTAGTGAAACCAATTTAAGTGGAAGTCTTAAGGAAAGGGAAATGATGGATTTTTGTGGAGCCCTTGGGAGCTCCGGGAAGCCTGGGAGAACACCCGGGTGGGTGGTGCGCCGGGCGGACGGCCGGGCGGGTGGTGCGCCGGGAGGACACCCGGGTGGGTCGTGCGCCAGGCGGGTGGTGCGCTGGGAGGACACCCGGGTGGGTCGTGTGCTGCTGGAACCTGACCAGTGCTGCCACCCTTGCTCCAGTCTCTTGGCAGCATTTTTGCTCACCTGTTAACTAACTGCTCTTGTAGTCAGTCATTGCCATGTGTTTTAAAAATCAAAATTTAAATAGCACTATTCTTCTTGTTCCCCTCTGCTCCCAAGTCGTCCCCTGCTCTCATCCTCTGCTGGGAGCCCTCGGCCCTCAAAGCCTCAGCCCGTCGTGGGCAGGGCGTGAGAGCAGTGGAACGGGGTACCCTGCGTGACCCTGTGCAACCTTTTAACAGCTTTGGACTTGTGGCCAGGACGTGCGGAGTGTGTCTCACTCCCTTCCCCCCACAGCCTTCCCTCGTGCTAGCGCTCAGGACCGTGGCACACCCCACCACTCCGCTCAGCGAGGTGCAGCTGTCCGCTGCGGACTGTTTCCCAGCGGCGGTCCACTTAGCCGCGTGTGGGTGTTTTCAGATGAAGAAGCCCTGTGCAGCTGCGTGGACACTTCCCTTCTGCAGCGTTAGGCATGCATTTAACATGCCGTGCTAAGGAAGTGCCAGCAGCCTGGACACCTGGGGATGACACACCAGCGACAAAGGAGACCTTGTTCTTCACCAGCCCCACACTCCACAGGCCTCTCCCAGAGGGGCATTCACGGGCTCATCCCCTCGGCTCTGCCCTGCTTCCCAGAGCCTTTTCCCAGGGAGCTGCAGTTACACAAGGGGCAAGAGCAGCAACGTCTTGGGCAAGTGTCCTGCCGCCTCTAGACCTCAGTTTCCCCATATGCAAATCTAAGGGGTGGGGCTTCCTCTCTGAGGTACTTCCTGGCGCTAATATTTTAGGGCTTTCAGGCCTCATAATCTTTGGGTCCAAAATCAAGCTTGGCTCAGGCTACTTGACACACTGGCCGTGTCTTGTCACGCACAGCAGGGTCACGTGTGTCTTCTCACGCTCAGCCCTTGGACCTGAGTCCTAAGTGAAAGATTGAGGCATTCCTTCCTTTATGTCCTCACGGTGACCCTCACCCGCAGGCCTGGCAGGTCCAGCAGGAGGAGCTGACCCTGTGTCCCCAGAGCCACGTCAGAGTGCTGCTGACCTTGGGCCCCACCTCTGCCCTGAGATACGGTCCAGCAGCTCCCTGCTGAGGAACTGGAATCTTTGGCCTTTGAGGGAGAGGGTGGGTGTGTACACAGAGCCACAAAAACAAACAGTGGCCCCTCCCCCTCCCGGAGGTGTGCATTTTGTCACCTGTGTGTGAAGCATGAGAAAGTCCTTCCTGCTGTCTCAGCTCCCAAAACCAGGACATGCTAGAGGAGTAAAGAGCGAAGCAGCCCCCCCCCCCACCTCTGGGTCATGGGTCCCCTCTTCAGGCCTGCGGGAGGAGTCTGCCACCTCTCTGGTTGGACAGCCTGGTGCCTCGGTCACATCCTATGGGCTGCACTGAGGACTGAGGTGGAGACCAAGGGACCTGCCAAACCTCAAACACATGTCTTTGGTCCTTCCCAGAGTTCCCTCTTGTTTGCCTGCCTCTGATGGAGGGAGTTCTGAGAGGGGTGACACTTACCCACCCCCACTTGCTCCTGACCAGGGGCAGAGTAGGGATGATTAGGAGGGGACCCGAGAAGGCTAGTGTTAGGTGGGCTTCCTCATTGGTGTTTGATCGCAGAAAGCTGCAGGCAACTTGCTCAGGTGCATGCAAACCAGACCCCACAGTGAAGGTCAGGCTGAGCGTCACCATGATGGGGGACGAGAGCGAGGGGGCTCAGACTGTAAGGGACCCTGGGCTGGCGGGAAGACCATATAGGCAAGTGAGATGCTGGGGGCCCCCGGGGGCCCTGGTCTGGGCTTGACTGTGACAGCTGACAGTTACAGCTGCGTGTGCGTGGGAGTGGCCGAGGGGCCTCCAGCACGGGCTGTGTTCTGGCAGCCGGGGGCTGGGGGAGAAACGTGTGTAGAGGGGAACGTGTCCTGAGTGGGCTTGGAAGCCCAGCACATTGTCCTGCCACAGGAGTGGGGTTCGGCTGGCACTGCGCAGACCAGGGTGGCAGGGCCTCTTCGGGGTGTGCTTGACCCCGAGCATGTGAACATCACCCGCCCCCTGCACTGGCCACTGAGGTCACTGAGACTTTGTCAGGCGGGTCACCTGGTTTCAGAGTAGGCCCGGTTCGGAGGTGAGGGCTTGCAGGTGGGGAGGGCCTCCTGTGGTCCGAGCCAGCTCCCTGCCTGCCCCTCACCCACTGGCTTCTGCTCCACAGGCTGGCGCCCATGCGGCTGTACACGCTCTCCAAGCGCCACTTTGTCCTCGTGTTCGTCGTCTTCTTCGTCTGTTTTGGCCTGACCGTCTTCGTCGGGATCAGCGGTAAGGTGCAGGTTTGATCATTTTGTCATTCACAGTTCCCTTGTGCAGGCTCTTCAGTCTGGCCCAGCTGTATCCCCCTGCTGTCACCCATCGAGGGCCCGTGGTGGAGGGTGAAGCCGTTTCTCCCTGCACCGGCTGAACGGAGGGGTGACCCCACACAGCAGCCATGGCCCGAGTTCAGCATGGCAGCCCTGGGCGGCCTTGACCATGTCCCTTCTGTTGGACAGTCAAACATTTCTGGAGAGTCTGTTGTGTGCCAGGATCCCACCTGGGTGCTGGGGATCCAGAGCGTGCTGGCTGGGGTGGGAGATGGGCCACGGTGCAGCGAACTGTGGGGCGGGCGTGAGATGCTGGCAGCATGAGGCTGCTCAGGTGACGCCCTGAGCTTGGCATCAGGGAGCCTGCAGATGGCTTCGGCCTTGTCTTCAGGGCCTCGGCACCCTGCGGCCCCCCAGCATGCTGTTGGAGGGGGAGAGAGGGGTTTCTGGGAACCCTATGAAACCGCCAACTTCTCTGGTCCTTGGTTTTCCATCTCTGAGAGAGGGGGTTGGATGTGGGGCTATTTCAAAGGCATTTTTGAAGCTAAAATTGTTATGGTGTGTGCCTCAAAAGACCAGTTTCTTGACCTAAACTGAGTCTTGGGTTGGTGAGTGGACTGAAGAAGCTGGGGAGAGGGTGGTATTTCAGTGCTGTTTGCCTGCTGCTGATGAAGATGGTAATGGTGACAGTGACAATGACAACGGTAGCCAGTCTCATTTTCCTGTGGTTTTAATGTGCATCTTTCTGATGATTGGTGATGTTGAACATCTTTTCATATATCTGTTGGCTATCTGTATGTCTTCTTCAGAGACGTGGCTATTCAGGTCTTTTGCCCATTTTTTAATTGAATTGTTTATCTTCCTGATGTTGAGTTGTGTAAGTTCTTATATACTTTGGAAATTAACCCCATTTCAGATGTATCATTGGCACATATGTTCTCCCATACAGTGGGTTCCCTTTCCCTTTTGTCAATGGTGTCTTTTCTGTGCAGCTTTTTAGTTCGATGTAGTCCCATTTGTTGAGTTTTTCGTTTCCCTTGCCCTAAGAGATGTATTAGAAAAATATTGCTACGAGAAATGTCTGAGATTTTACTGCCTATGTTTTCTTCCAGGATTGATACGGTTTTGCGACTTACATTTAAGTCTTTTATCCATTTTGAGTTTATTCTTGTGTATGGTGTAAGTCGGTGGTCTAATGTCATTTTTTTTTTTATCTTCACCTGAGGACATTTTTCCATTTTTTTGTTCAGATACAGTGGGAGGGAGAGAGAGGAAGAGAGAGAGAAACATCAACATGAAAGGGACACACTGAGTGGCTGCCACCCACACGACCAACCAGGGCCGGGGACAAACCGCAACCGAGGTATATGCCCTTAGCGGGAACTGAACCCGGGTCTCTCTGGACCGCAGGCCAACGCTCTAACCACTGAGCCAAACTAGCCAGGGCTAATGTCATTTTTTTGCATGTACCTGTCCAATTTTTCGAACACCATTTATGGAAGAGACTTGCTCACTTCTTTTAAGGCCAAAGCTCTAAAAAACTAGAGTATAAGATTCTGTGAAGCTTGTATATCTGTTATTTCAGGGAAAGCCTTAAGTATATATTAGCAATTAATGTTATTTTATATTCTCTATTTTAAATATTTTTGGAAGACTGGATTAATTGGATGAATAGATAAATGTCTTAATTTTTCAGCAGAAACCTTTATACTTTATAAACAGATAGGTGAATGTCTTCTTGGCTCTGCAGTGCAGAGAGAGCCCCCATTGAGGGCAGAGGAGCGGGTTCTGCATGTACAGAAAACCGCGGAAATAACGTGCACCGTGTGGCGGTCAGATGGGGTTCACCTGGTTGGGAAGGCATGCAGTGCAGCAGAGTGGGTGTGGTGTGTCCGTGTTTGTGTGTGTTACACGTATGTGAAACCTCTAAGGACAGACCAGGAAAATAAGACTACCTCCATATAATGTATGTCTTTCAGGGCATTTGGGAAAAAATCAGTAAATTAATTGTCAATGTAGGATCTAACCTGCTTTTTTCCTTCTCTGTTACACTTTAGGGCCCAAAGTGATCCAGACTTCTGAAGCTAATTTTTCATTGAATAATAGCAAAAAGGTAAGATTGGGTCTGAGTGGCAGATGATGGGGCGTGTGGACCGCCAGGTCCCTAGAAATGACCCTCCTGGCCCTGCAGCCGCCGCGCCGGCAGACGCCCTTGTCCTTGTCGCTGCTCGCGCTGGTCTGGGTTCTTGTTTGCTGGCAGGACCTCCTGCCGCGGTAAGTGCCGGAGCAGAGCCGGCAGCAGGGCTAACGCTGAGGGAGCAGCCTTCCTCTTCAAGGCTTGTTAACCATGGTGGGTCCTCACCTCGGCAGGTCTTACTGGATTGTAAGTTCTGACAACATTCACCTCACATTTGCCCAAGTCACAGTGTGGTCTCCACGTTCTAACAGTAACAGTTCTTACCAATGACTGGCATTCCTTGCATGAACTCAGTTTAAAGGAAATATCCTTTTTTCTTTTCTTTTTCAATTTTTCTCAATTCTTCTTCTTTTTTTTTTATCCTCACCTGAGGACATTTTTTTATTTTTTTGTTCAGATAGAGTGGGAGGGAGAGAGAAAGAGAGAGAAACATCGACATGAAAGAGACACATCGAGTGGCTGCCACCCGCACAACCCAACCAGGGCCGGGGACAAACTTGCAACCGAGGTATGTGCCCTTAGCGGGAACCAAACCCAGGTCTCTGGACCGCAGGCCGACACTCGTAACCGCTGAGCCAAACCGGCCAGGGCCTTTTTTTTTTTTTTATCCTCACCTGACGATACTTTTTCCATTTTTTTTTCCAGATAGAGTGGGAGGGAGGGAGGAGCGGAGAGAGAGAGAAAGAAACATCGATGTGAAAGAGAGACACCTTGATTGGTTGCCTCCTCCACAACCCCAACTGGAACCGGAGATTGAACCTGCCCTTGACCAGGAATCGAACTTGTGACTCTGTAGGACACGGGCCAACGCTCTAACCGCTGAGCCAAGCCCGCCAGGGCAAGATGTCAGGTGTTTTTTTTGGCACTGAAAATAGCAGGTGTCCCACAGAACTGACCGGCTTCCGAAGGGTCGTCCACATGTCTGACAGGTGACTGATTACCCTCCGATAGAGCTCATCGCGCAGGTGGCTTTGGGGCACGTCTGACCACAGAGGGTGTCACGGAGGCCCCAGAGCCTTAAAACCCAAAAAGCACACGTCCACCCAGACGTGCATTCAGGCAGTGCTTTGCTTCGGATCCACGATGGGCTGTCCAGGCAGCTTCTCCGTACCCCACTGCCGTAGACCCGGGACTGGGGTTCACAGACACCACGGAAGTGCCGCTGGCAGTGTGGCCCCCTAACTTTTCTCTCCAACAATGTTTACACTTTTCTAAAGCTGAGAATAATGGACGTCAGACAGTGACGTGTCAGGCATATTGATATTAAATCCAGACCCTTGCCAATATCTCTTTGTGTCCTAATTATCATAGTATTCGTCTCATCTCATGTACTTGACACTTTTTCCTCCGAGATGGCCTTCTCTTGGTGTTTCAGTCGGGCATTGTCCCGAGGCTGTGGGTGTGGGAACGGCCCGCCTGGAGGTTTTCACGAGACGGCGCACTGCAGCGGGAAATGAGTCCTTTCTTCTCCCGGAAGGCGGAATTCACTCACGTTGTCAGAGGGGCGCTCCTTGCTGTTTCTGTGCCAGCCATAAAGCCCAGCCCTTTTGCCGAGGGTAGATTTGGGGTGTTAAGGTGAAATGTTTGATAGCTACAATGGAAAGGTCACATGGGTTACTTAACTTTTTTCTTTTTCCCTCAGCTAAAGCCAATTCACATCCGTTCAAACCCGTTGTCCACGTACAACCAGCAGCTATGGCTGACGTGCGTTATTGAGTTGAATCAATCAAAAGGTATGAAGCCTGACATGTGGTCTGATTTCTGTTTGTACAAAGCACCGTATTTTAAAAGTTGAAAGAGCTTTCAGATCTTTTAAAATATGTTCAAAGATTACAAGGGTGGTCTTTGTTCTTTGTGGCAGCAACAGGTTGGGAAGCCCTGCAAATGTCTTCCGTGTCTTCTAGTCAGTTATGCTGCAGCCTCAGGGAGTGCTGGTCACCCCCAGGGAGTGCTGGTCACCCCCAGGGAGTGCTGGTCACCCTCAGGGAGTGCTGGTCACCCCCAGGGAGTGCTGGTCACCCCCAGGGAGTGCTGGTCATCCCAAGGGAGTGCTGGTCAGCATAGCTCAGGGTGTGCTGGTCACCCTCAGGGAGTGTGTCAGCATAGCTCAGGGAGTGCTGGTCACCCTCAGGAAGTGCTGGTCAGCTTAGCTCGGTTGCTGCACAGTGTAGGAGCTGCTTCTGCAGCCTTTATCAGTGGGGTTCTGGGACAAAATTAAGTCCTGATGCCCCAAGGTAGTGGCTCTGTCCCCCAGGGACACGTGGCAGTGCCCGGAGACATTGTAACATTTTGATCGTCACAATTGGGGAGAAGGGGGAGCTACTGGTGTCTGTTGGGTAGAGGCCAGGGATGATGCTGAACACCCTGTGACGCAGGACAGATCCCTGCAGCAAAGACTCATCTGGCCTCTGTACCTCGGTTGCAGTTTGTCCCCGGCCCTGGTTGGTCGTGCGGGTGGCAGCCACTCGGTGTGTCCCTTCACATCGATGTTTCCCTCTCTCTCTCTTCCTCTCTCTCCCTCCCACTCTATCTGTACAAAAAAATGGAAAAATGTCCTCGGGTGAGGATAAAAAAAAAAAAAAAAAAAAAAAAAAAAAAAAAGAATCATCTGGCCTCAAAACATCAGTGGTGCCGAGGGTGCAGCACCCTGCCCAAGGCTCGCTCATTCACAGTGAATCGGCTCTGTCCATCCAGAGTGTCACTAGTCATGTGCCATCCCAGCGGCACTGAGGCGGTGGCCATCGTGTGATCTGTGACCTGGGATTCACATCAGGGGCTTGGGTTGAGAAAGAATTTGAAAAGATCCCTTGAAAAATGCATATTAGAAAAAATCAACCATTTTTTTTTATAACACTTTAAGAAGATTAATAAATTTGATATCACTGTGTATTTGTCTAAAAAATGGCCTGGGAGGATGGACACATACATAATAACTACAGTTCTGTCTAGGTGGTGGGATTACAGTGATTTTTGTTTTGTTTTGTTAATTCTCACCCGAGGATATTTTTTCCATTGATTTTAGAGAGAGTGGAAGAGCGGGGAGAGAGAAACATTGATGTGAGAGAAACACACTGATTGGTTGCCTCCCACACATACCCTGACTGGGGCTGGAGATTGAACCTGAAACCCAGGTACTTGTCTTTGATGGGGAATCGAACCCTTGACTCTTCAGTGTGAGGGCCAATACTCTAACCACTGAGCAACCGGCCAGGGCAGGATTATAGTGTTAAATGCCATCTTCATAGTTTTTTGTTCTCTGATTTTTTAAAACAATGAGCATATAATCAGTAAATTAAATTATAGTATCAGAAAAAATAAACCTATTTTTATGTTGGTATAAAGTTAAATTAAAATTTTATGTGGGAAATAAAAAATGCATTAGCCATGAACCGTGTGTCCTTTCATGAAAGGAAGAGGATGGACCTGGAACGGAGGCTTGGACACAGGCCCCGGGAAGGGACTGAGCGGAACTAACAGAGGCTTTCTCCGCGGCAGGCGCGGGGTGGGTGCCGGGGCTGAGGCGCGGGAGGCCTCCTGGGTTGTCGCAGAGCCGGGCGGGATCTTTGATGTGTGCCGTGCCTGATGTGGTTCCTGACCCCAAGTTTCTTTCTTTTGTAGAAATGTCTATTCAGACCAGCTTTCCCATGACCGTTAAAGTTGATGGCTTAGCTCAAGATGGAACCACCATGTTCATTCATAACAGAGTTCACAATCGGACGAGGACCATCACGTGTGCGGGGGTGAGTGTTCGCATGATCTGACTCCGTGTCATGCTGCCCTATCACAGACAGACTGACTTTCTTATGTAAAAAATCCACACCAGTGATAGTGTGGAAAAATTATCCACCTTTGTATGCTCATACCTTATAAATGCTCATTAACATACGCACATGCATTCACACACAGATAAACACATGTACACAGACACAAACACATGCACAAACACGTCTGTACACAGACACATAAACACATGTATACACACACCCCCCCTTGAGTATATGTGATTCCTACTTCTGTTGTTTGTGTAACTCACTGCCTGGTGCGTCTGTAGATGGCTGTTGTTTGGCCGCCTTCACAGAGGTCAGTTTTGACCATGGCTCTGGGTTTCCAGGCCTCTCGGGAAGAGTGCTGCTGAACGTGTGCTCCAGGTGCAGTGTGGCAGTGGGATAGGAAACCCGAAACCCACAGCAAGGAAGGAGCCGCACTCTTGTCTTTGTCCGGACTCTGTTCTGTCAGATGGGAAGAAGCAGCCCAGGTCCCAGCCGCAGGAGAGGGTGCCCGTGGGGACTCCTCGGAGAGCGGGAGCAGCAAGAGAGCGTGCCTTTGAGTGTAGGGTCAGGACAGCGGTTTTGTTTCCCTGGGCCTCGCCTCCCTGCAGTCCTCCCACAGGCCCTCCTCGGGGCAGGATCTGTTGTTAGCGCTCATTTCACATAACAAGAGCTTCAGGCTCAGAGAGGTCGATACATCGGCCCAGAGATACATTGACCCAGAGATACATTGGCCCAGAGCAGCACAGATGGTGAGGGGAGGGCCAGGATTCCAGCCCAGGCTCCCATTCTGAAGACTGCGCCCTCAGCACACATGCACACGCCTGTTGATAGACAGCACAGAGACCCTCGTCTGTTTGTCCTGGCCAAGAGGGTGCGGTCAGGGAGGCCTTCTGCTCAGTGGTGGGCCTGGCTGTGATCACTCTCTGTTGTCAGCTCTAGGAGATCCGGAGATGGGTCAGAAACAGCCTGAAAGGGCTGGGTCATTGAGGGGAGCGGCCGGGCCACCCTGTCTGGCCGAGCCATTGCCGTGTTTCCTCCCTGACCTGAGCAGTGGCTCTTTGTCCTGGGCCATCTGGTGGGCCCGGTGGGTGCTGCCTGGGAAGCACCGCCCTCATCCGCCTCCACCAATCACCTGTGAGCAGGGCCGGGGGTTCTGACATGGCGTTTCCTCATCAGTAAAGTGGGTTACACCTTCCCTGCTGTCTGGAGAGTGGGACCAGGTTGTTGGAGGCGAGCACGCAGTGTTTGTGCCAACAGGGGCATCCACCGAACCCCCACTGGCCTGCATGCCATAGGTGCCCCATTAGTGCTGCTGGATGAACAGGAGAGACAACAGGTGTGGGTCTGAGGGGACCACTGCTCCGTCCGAGGGCAGATGGCCTGGAGTCCGGCCTCAGCACCTGACCTCGCTGTTCTCTGATGAACAGGTGGTCGGTGGCTTTGTCCTGAGGCTAGTGCAACTGATCTGGCTGGTTTATCTGGGACCAGAGGGTTTCTCAGGGCACGGGACTTTCTGTTTTACTTATTTATCTATCTATTTCTGTTAATCGTCACCTGAGGATATTTTGCCATTGATTTTCAGAGCATGGAAAGGAGGGGGAGAGAGAAACATCCATGTGAGAGAGACACAGCGATCGGTTGCCTCCTGCATGGGCCCTGACCAGGGCTGGGGATCGAACCTACAACCCAGGTTCATGCCCTTGACCGGAAACTGAACCTGTGACCCTTTGGTGCACAGGCCGATGCTCTAACCACGGAGCCAAGATAGGACTTTCTGTTTTAAATGGGAAAGGTCTCGGGCCCACTGGAATGAGCTGGCCTCCCCCTGATGACTGCCCTCGGACTTGAGCCAGCCGCCCACCAGGCCGCTCGTCTCCTTGCTGCTTCTGGGAAGCGCTGCCCTGCTGCGCACCTGGGTAGTGGTCCTTCGCGCATCGAGGGGAGCACGCAGTGCTTGTGCCACCAGGGGGCATCCACCGAACCCCACTGGCCTGCATGCCATAGGTGCCCCATGTCACCATCAGGGCTTCTGCTGTGATTCTCTCTCTGCTCCAGTCTCTCCCTAACCCTCAGGGAACATTGCCCTGACTTTAAAAAAGATGGAATTTTGTGTTGGAGATATTGACCACCCTCCCATACTTTTTTTTTTTTTAATGTGAAGAGAAAGGCCGCCTGCCTCGGTGGCGTGGCCGCTGTGGCTCGCAGCGATTTCCAGGAGGCTCATCGTCTGCACCGCCATGGCTTGCACATGGCCCAGATGCTCAGGCGGTTGCGTTGCAGCTCTTTAGGCTTGAAGAGGCGTGCAGCCTGAGAGACAGCTCTTCGGCTAGTTGAAACATCCTTCTAAGTCCAGACAGATGCATAACTCGTAAGGAGACGTACCCGCGCAGCACAAATATACGCACTGATGCAAACCTTCCCATCATGTGGAGTCCTCAGCTGCCCCTCCCCCACACCATCCTGTTGGACACAAAAGGTGGGCTTGGTTTTGTTGAGACCAGGGCCCCACACTCTCGTGCCCTGAGGGCAGGCGGCCAGTACACGAAGGACGCTGATCCAGTGGGAGAGAAACCGCAGCTCCGCCCACTCAGTGTCAGCCGTGGGAGAGCAGGGCCTGGGGTCATCGAGAGCGGCTGCGGTGTAGGGCAGGTGTCACTCGTTGGCCTAAGGGTCTTGAGAGATTTTGACGAGAACCTTCCTATTGTCTTCACAAGGCACACACCCTCCTCTTCTCTGTCTCCTTCCCTGTTCCTCGGGTCAGCGCCCCCTGCTTTGCTGATTGTCATCTTATATTTGTAAGGTTCCCTTGGTATCACCCAGATCTGTTTTCCTACCCTGACCTCAGACATTCCTGGCGTGGAAAGCCTTTGATTAACAGTAGGGATGACTTTGTTCTGTCCAGAGCCATAGCTCTAGCAAGTGCCACCCGGGAAGTCACTGAGCTGCCTGTTTGTTCTGGGCACAGTGCCTTCTGTCAGATACTGAGAGATTCTGGAGGAGCATGCTGGCTGGGCAGAGGTATGTGGGGGGGTCTCTGCTCACCTGCCACAACACACATCTGTGTCCCCCTCGCCCTTCTGAAACGAGACCCAATCCTTAGTTCTAAAGGAGAACGCACACACACCAGCCGAGTCATACTAGCTATTACAGACATACCTTCGCCTTGGATGCGACCTGCCCTCCTCCCAGGACTGCAGGTGGCTCTGTGTTGGGAATGATGGGCTAATAGGGGAGAAAGAAGGACAGCTAACCCACCTGCAGAAGTAGGCCAGGGAGGACGGTGAGGCTGAGGGGTCTCTGGTTCTCGGCGTACAGCCCCCACGCACGGTGTCTCTGAACTGTCAGGATTGTGTTACGCTGATGACTTATGCAGGTGCATGTTATTCTGAGTCATCCAAAGTGGAGTCTAAGGACTGTAAACCATTTTTGTTTGTTTCCAAAAACAGCCATTTGGTTCTTTCTTTCTAAGAACTGTTTGGCTGGCATCTGAATTTCTCTGGTTCTGGCGAGTTCCCAGGAGATGGCCAGTTCTGATCATCTGTTGTTGAAATGGGTCAGTTGGTTGCTTTAAAGACACGGTTCTTCTCTGTGCATTTGCAGAAGTGTGCAGAAATCATTGTGGCTCACCTCGGCTACTTGAATTACACTCAGTACACAGTGACTGTGGGATTTGAACACCTGAAGGACGTATCCATCAAGGAAGTGACCTTCACGGTAAGTCTACCAGCTAGCGCAGATGCTCAGCAGCTCACTTTGGCTCCCCTTCTTCTGTTGAGTGGTTTAAATAACACAGCATTGAAGTTGTTATTTTGGATAGTAGAAGACATATACAGTTTTAAAAGTTACAGGAAAAGCACAATTTCTTTTTTTTTAATCCTCACCCGAAGACATTTTTCCATTTTTTGTTCAGATAGAGTGGAAGGGAGAGAGAGATATAGAGAGAGAAACATCAACGTGAAAGGGACACATTGAGTCATTGCCTCCCACACAATCCAACCAGGGCCGGAGACAAACTGCAACCGAAGTACATGCCCTTAGCGGGAACCGAACCTGGGTCTCTCTGGACTGCAGGCCGACACTCTAACCGCTGAGCCAAACCGGCTAGGGCACAATTTCTTTTTTTTTAATAATTTTTTATTTTTTAATTATAGTTGCTGTACAACATTACATTAGTTTTAGCTGTACAACCCAGTGATGAGATATTTATATAACTTACGCAGTAGTCACCTCGATAAATCTAACAGACATCTGGTACTATACATAGTTGTTACAGTACAGGTGGGGCCAAAGTAGGTTTACCATTGTTCATGTGGGAAATGATACTGTGATTAATAAATAATAATACAAGAATAAACTCTGTGTTTTGTGTCCTCACAACTGTAAACCTACTTTGGCCCCACCATGTATTATTGACTATATTCCCTGTGCTGTACTTTATATCTCTGTGACTGTTCTGTAACTACCAATTCACCTTTTTTTTCCATCCCTCCAACCCCCTCCCCTCTGGCAACCATCAGAATGTTCTCTGTATCTCTGAGTCTGTTTCTGTTCTGCTTGCTCATTTGGGTTTTTAGATTCCACATATAAGTAAAATCATATGGCACTTGTCTTTCTCTGTCTGACTTACTTCACTCAGCACAGTAACCTCTAAGTCCATCCATGTTGTTGCAGATGGCAAGATGTTATTCTTTTTTATGGCTGAATCCTATTCCATTGTATGTATGTACCACACTTTATCCATTCATCTGTTGATGGGCATTTAGGTTGCTTTCATGTCTTGGCTATTGTAAATAATGCTGCCATGAACGTATAGATGTATATGTCTTTTCAGTTTAGTGTTTTATGTTTCTTTGGAGAAATACCCAGAAATGAAATTGCTGGGTCTTGTCTCTTGTTATTTAGTCTTTGCTTTAAAGTCTGTTTTGTCTGGTATGAGTATGACTACTCCAGCTTTTGTTTGTTTCCATTTTCATGAAATATCTTTATCCATCCCTTTACTTTCGGTCTCTGTGTGTCTTGGGTCTGTCATAGGTGGCTTGTGGAAGCGCCTGCTGTTTTGTTATCCATTCTGTCACCATATGTCTTTTGATTGAAGCATGTCATCCATTTATATTTAAAGTAATTGTTAATAGATATATAATTATTGTCAGTTATTCACATTTTAATCTTTTTTTCTCTTCATCTTAAAGAAAACCCTTTAACATTTCTTGTAATACTGGTTTGGCAGTGATGGAACTCCTTTAACTCTTTCTGGCCTGGGAAGCCCTTTTTCTGTCCTTCGATTCTAAATGATAGCTTTGCTGGGTAGAGTAATCTTGGTTGTAGGACCTTGCTTTTCATCACTTTGAATATTTCATGCCAATCCCTTCTGGCCTGCAAAGTTTCTGTTGAGAAATCAGTCTCATGGGAACTCCCTGGTAAGTAACTAACTGTTTTTCTCTTGCTGCTTTTAAGATTCTCTTTGTCTTTAACCTTTAGCATTTTTTAAAAATTGAATTTATTGGGGTGACATTGGTTAATAAAATTATATAGGTTTCAGATGTACAATTCTACAATACATCATCTGTATATTGTATTGTGTGTTTACCACCCCAAGTCAAGTCTCCTTCCGTCTCCATTTATACCCCCTTTACCTTCTTCTACGTCCCCTCACCCTCCCTTTCCCTCTGGCAATCACCATCCTGTTGTCTGTGTCCATGAGTCTTTCTTTTTTTCTTTTCTTTGCTTAATGCCTTCACCTTTAGTATTTTAATTATGATGTGTCTTGGTGTGGGCCTCTTTGGGTTCTTGTTTGGAACTCTCTGTGCTTCCTGGACTCGTATATCTGTTTCCTTCACTGAGTTAAAGAAATTTTCTGTCATTATTTTTTTTTTATGTGTTTTTTTTTAAAAATTGATTTTATAGGCAGAGGAAAGGAGAGGGAGAGAGATATAGAAACATCAGTGAGAGAGAATCATCAATTGGCTGCTTCCTGCACACACCCCACTGGTGATCAAGCATGCACCCTAACAAGGAATCCAACCGGCAACCTCTTGGTGCATGGGACGATGCTCAACCAACTGAGCCACAGCGGCTGGGCTCTGTTGTTATTTTTTCATAGATTTTTAAATTTCTTGCTTTCTCTTGCCCTTTTGGTACCCCCATGATGCGAATGTTGGTGCACTTGAAGTTATCCCAGAGGTTCCTTATACTATCCTCATTTGTTTGGATTCTTTTTTCTTTTTGCTGTTCTGATTGGATGTTTTCTGCTTCTTTATCTTCCAAATCACTGATTTGATTCTCTGCTTCATTTATTCTACTGTTGATTCCTTGTATGTATTCATTCCAGTTGATGTATTCTTAATTTCTAACTGGTTGTTTTTTTATGTTTTCTATCCATTTTTATGTTTCCTATTTCTTTGTTGAAGTTTTAACTGAGAACATTGAGCATCCTTTTAACCAGTGAAAACCATAATGTCTAAGGATATGGAACCAAGAATAGCTTAAAGAAACAGCATTAAATTGGAAAACCGTTGCAGTGTTCTGAGAGTTAGAACAGAGTACATGCTTCCAGTTGAAAGGTAGTTCAGAGGTTACAGTGAACCTTTCGAAGAAGGCAGGGCTTCCTCCTCCAGCCCCTGTGAGTGGTCTTCAGACCCTGCCGGAACCTCTGGTGAGCCACGGGCACTGCTCCTTGGTGGCACGGCTCTGATTGTTAAACTGCCCTTATTCCTCTCCGCACTGGGACTCAGTATAACCAGCACAGTCACTAGGAGTACAGATTTTACATTGGACTGGGGAGCTGGGTTCAAATCCCGGCACCATCATTTATAGTTTGATATTGTCAGGCCTCCACTTCTTTATCTGTAAAATAGCTACCTCATAAAGCTGAGACTATAAATGAAGGTCCTCCTGGGTTCCTTTTTCAAAGTAACACTTTCTTTTTTTTTTTTTTTTTTTTTTTTTATCCTCACCCGAGGGCATTTTTCCATTTTTTGTTCAGGTAGAGTGGGAGGAAGAGAGAGGAACAGAGAGAGAGAGAGAGAGAAACATCGATGTGAAAGGAACACATCGAGTGGCTGCCACCCACACAGCCGACCAGGGCCGGGGACAAACTGCAACCGAGGTATGCGCCCCCAGCGGGAACCGAACCCGGGTCTCTCAGGACCGCAGGCCGACGCTCTAACCACTGAACCAAACCAGCCAGGGCTCAAAGTAACACTTTCTTGAGATATAACTCACATATCATAACATTTACCGTTTTAAAGTGTACAATTCAGTGGTTTTTAATATATTCAGAGTTGTGCACCCAGTATCTAATGCCAGAGCATTTTTATCATCCCCAAAATAAGCCTGATAGTAGTCATTTCCCATTTGTCCCTCCCCCAGCTCCTAGCAACCACTGATTTTCTTTCTGTCTCTGGATTTGCCAGCTCTAGACATTTTAGATGAATGCAGTCATGCAATATGAGGTCTTTTGTGAATGACCTTTTGCACTAAGGATCACATACATTTTCATAGTTTATCCATACTGTTTTTGTTTTGTTTTGTTTTGTTTTTGCTTTATTGGTTTTACAGAGAGAGGAAGTGAGAGGGAGAGAGAGATAGAAACATTGATGAGAGAGAACATCAGTTGGCCCCCTCCTGCATGCTCTCCACTGTGGATCAGGCCCACAACCTGGGCATGTGTCCTGACCGGGAATCGAACCAGCGACCTCTTGGTACATGGGTCAACACTCAACCACTGAGCCACACTGGCCGGACTTTAGTTCATCCATACTGTTGTGTGTCTCAGCACTTTGTCCCTTTGCTGAGTAATATTTCACTGTGGTGTGTATGCTACATTTTGTGTATCCATTCATCAGTTGATTGGGCATTTGGGTTGTCAGCTATTACAAATAAGTGCTGTAGATATTTTAATAAAATATCTCTGATGGTGGGCTTAATGTTTAATTTTTTTTTTCATTTTCTCTTTTTATCGTGAGCTATTATTACCTTTATAATCAGAAGAGAAAGTTAATTTTTATTTTTTAACTCTCACCCAAGGATATTTTTCTATTTATCTTCAGATAGAGTGGGAGGGAGGGAGAGAGAGGGAGAGACAGAGAAATATTGACGTGAGAGGGACACATTGATGGGTTGCCTCCCACGCAACCCAATCAGGGCCAGGGACGAACCTCAACTGAGGTACGTGCCCTTAACCGGAATTGAACCCGCCACTCATTGGTCCGTGGGCCGACGCTCTAACCACTGAGCAAAACCAGCCAGGGTGAGAAAGTTAATTTTTAAGAAAGGCTCCTAAGACAACCAAAATTTGGAGGGGAGTTCAGGGTACATTCTAGCCATTCATTCTAACAAGATCAGTTGTGGAAAAGCTACCTCAGAGAGTCAGTCACAAAGCAGCCAGTGTACAGCTTGTATAGAGACACATTAAGGGATTAGAGGCTTGCCCAGATGGTATGGCTCGGCGTCGTCCCACGGACTAAGAGGTCCCAGTTTGATTCCTGGTCAGGGCACATGCCTGGGTTGCAGGCTCCATTCCCAGTAGGGGGCGTGCTGGAGGCAGCAGATTGATGTATCTCTCTCACATCTGTTTCTATCTCTTTCCCTCTGTCTCTAAAAAATCAATGAAAACATATTATTAAAAAAAAAAGAAATTAGAGAACCTTATGCAAACTGTTTCTATGTCTTTATTCTTGAAGGCAGTATCTGTTATGCTGTGAACTTTGATCTAA